AAAGTAAAAAGGGAAAAAAACATGCACATGGATAGAATGTACAAAACCAAGACAAAATTAGCTCAGCATAATTTTTTGTGAAACAGTCTTTAAAATCTGATTAATATGCTATTTAATCCCCCCCCCCCCCCCACTGCTGTTCCACAGAGAGACATTGTGAAGTACACATGTACACACCAGCACACCAGGTTTACATGGTAAATAGCTGATACTGGGAATACCATTGATATGTTTGTATGACATTTAATGTAAAGCATTATGCTGACATTAAACATTGTTTAAGAATATGTACACTTTTTCAATAAAACTTCATATTTTTTGTCCTACTAAGATAGGTATTGTAAAGTAGTTATAGGTCAGTGTTTATTTTAATATGTGAAATATATTTCTTAGTTTCTTAACTATTTCTTAGTTAGATTTTAATTGTTCTGTAAGTTATTTTTTTTTTCTCAAACTTTGTCTTATGATGACTTCTGTTGAACAAAATATTTCAGATGTATACCTTATGAATCATTTATTAAAAAAGAATTTTTACCGTTATTATTATTTAATTATAATTAAGATTAATAAAATGATTATTTAAATTTATGCCAAAAGAATGATCGCTATATGTGGAATAGATTCCACGTAAATGAATTTTAAATTTAAAAAAAAATCTGAATTCTGTCATTTCATATTTTATATGTACTGAGTGACTTAATATCCATAATTAATGGTAAGTACATGAGGTTTTATTCAAAACATAAAATTTTCAAACTTGACAGAATATGCAGACAAGACAAGACAATAATAAGAAATGGTTTTTCTCTATGATTTAAGGGTTCACTAATTTGATCACCAGGAGTCTGCTATACATGTACAAAAAGAAGTGTAACCAAGACCAAAATATTTTTTGGCAAATTATTTTCCTCTTTACATTAATCAGGGGTACAAGAGAATTTAAGATGAGCTATTTTAAACAAACTTAGAAACGGCTAAAATTTTTGGTATTTGTCTTTTATATTAGGGGGCCCTAATTTCTTTACTTTACTTTCTTTTTAAACTGTAACTGAGTACTAACACATATCAATATTACACTGCCAAACATAGTATATGTATGATGTTGATTGCATGACCTGAGCTCTCTTTTATATATGTGATTCTTTGTATTTTTAGATCTTCAACAGTAATTTGTCTATAATATTGAAGTCTCTATTTTTGATTAAAAGAGATGAAAATATGTATTTACATTTCAGTGTAATGATCTTTTGATCCTTGGATATTGTTAGGGACCATTCAAATAAAATACTAAAATGTGAAACCTCATTATCTCAAACTCGTCGGGACTGAGATTTAACTTCGAGATATCTCGAACTCGTCGGGGCTGAGATTAAACTTCGAGATATCCCAGGATTCGAGATAATGAGGTTAAAAAACAAAAAGTAAAGTACTGTGGACCTCCAAATCACTTTGACCTTTTTATTCGAGGTAATGATGTTCAACTTTATTTGTAATTTTTTTGTATTTCCTGGAATTTTAAACAGTACCTTTAATGTGCATTTTAACATTTCACCATAAAGTCGTCTACCTGGAAAATTATTTATTTTACTGCAAAATTTGCAGTTATCTATCAGATTCTAATATTTTTAGTACTTATGAAATAAAGTTTAGAGAAAATGTTGCCATACACCGTTTGATTTTATGGAAATGCTTGTGAATTATTAAACTATGGGACAAAGTACATGTATCTATTTTTCTGAATTATGTTGCATTCCTTTAGTGTAATAATGCATTATTTATTTTATGTTTGTTCTCGTATATATGTATTTTAAATTTTGTGTAGATGTATTAATATTTATTTTTACCCCCACCCACCCCTGTCCTTTGATCAATTCCATCATAGTTCAAATCTTTGCTGAACACAAATATATTTCTTGGAATTCAATCTTCATGCTAGCTATTTTAATTATTTTTTTCGTATACATTCTTTATTAATTTATTGAGCCATACCAGCTAATTAATGAATAAGGAAGTACAGATATCAAGTTGTTCCCCTTTTCCGTGAATTGACACTGCTTTTCTATGCATAAAAATCCTATTTTTCTCTGCAATACAGACTGCCTTTCTGTGTTTTTTCTTTCGCTTTCTGAAAAATCTTTCCTTTACTGTGATTTTTTTTTTCAAGATACCTTAAACATTAAATTGTTTTTATCTGTTGCCCCCCTGCTTTATACCACGCGGAAGAGGAAGTTAGATTTCCATGAATTTGTAGCTCCTCTCTAATAATTTTCAAAGGATATATTTTTATACATATTCTTCCTTGATCCGCACACAGAGCTGCTGTGCTTTAGGCTTAATTCTCATTACCAGCAACACAGAGCTGTTGTGCTTGAGACCTCATTACCACCGCACACAGAGCTGTTGTGGTTCAGGCTTCTCTATACCTACGCACACAGAGAGCTGTTGTGCTTGAGACCTCATTACCACCGCACAGAGAGCTGTTGTGCTTGAGACCTCATTACCACCGCACACAGAGCTGTTGTGCTTGAGACCTCATTACCACCGCACAGAGCTGTTGTGCTTGAGACCTCATTACCACCGCACACAGAGCTGTTGTGCTTCAGGCTTCTCCATACCTACGCACACACAGAGCTTTTGTGCTTGATATTTCATTACCACCGCACAGAGAGCTGTTGTGATTAAGACTAGCGCTATATGGTTGTAAAATTCTTGCATGATTTTCAGGTACTGCAACATCAAAAAGAAACGTATTCACTCTTTTATAAAACTTTAAATTTCCTATCTATAAATTTGTTGCCGCAATTGTTTCTCTGTGAATTATTTCCATGACCAAAGCCCCGCACAGACCGGACTGAACTGAGAAATTATCTATAAAAACTTGCCTGATGGCTGAATTTAAAAATTTGAAAGAGAGAGTTTTAAAATAAAGTGGTAGCATGTTACCTGTTGTCACTTAAAAACGCGAAAAAAAATCAAATATTGGTGAATACAGTCAACCCTTTGTAGATTGTTTCGCAGAAAAGGTGACATACTTGCTACTTAGCGTAAAAATAGCACAAAGGCAGGACGGTCTATGTTAAACCTTGCATCTAGTCATGTAATATTACAGTAGGCTATCTACTTAAAACTCTTCTGAATTTTAGCCATTGTTTTATAAATTGGACATGAACACTTTATTTGGTTCTGTATGTCTTGAAAAGGTTTTATGAATACGCTATGTCTTCACTAAAACGCATAGCTCATCGAAGTGGATTTTTTTTTTTTGGGGGGGGGGGGGGGGAGGGGGTATCTAATCAGATATTGAATAAAGATTATTTTTCAAACATGGCTAACTTGTACACGTCTTTTTGTTTTTGTGTTATTTGAGCATTTGTGACTTGTGTAAAGTCCTATGCTTTGTGATTAAATCAGGAAAATTTAAATACATGCATTGTATTTGTTATAGTCATACAACTTTTATGTTAATCCATAATCTAATACATGTATATAATGGATATATAGTGTAATTGAATGGATATTTCGTTCGAAATGCACATTATGTACACTTGTCATTAGAAATAAACTTTGAACATCATTTTAGTGTTATATATGTGAAAATGGAACTTATTAATAAGCTTTTTGTTATGTTGCATTATCATCGGCTATTTAAAATAGAGCTTTTAAGATAAACCTTTACCATGCATGGTAACTATACATGCTATTCCGCTATATGAGAAAAATATCATGATTAGTGGTTATAATTATAATTCGATGTTTTTTTTTTTTGCTGATTTGTGCCTTTTTGCTAACATGTTCAGTGTAAGTGATTGGCAATAAATTTTTAAAATGGATAGTGTTTCTTTTTCGTTGGATAAATTCTTTCCCCCAATTTTTGGCCCTAAATCCAAAGTTCAGGTCATAGAGTTGGGCTTAGTTGATCATATATTGAAAAAACATTATATCTTTGAAAGTTTTCTCTTTATTCATTGGAATTTAGCAGGCAAACTGTTTGCATGGTTATAATAAAGACTTAACCATCTTCCAAACTAATAAAAGTCGTGACTTCGGGCCTATGGTTCAGACCCCAGGATGTGGCTAAGTCGGTCTTGTATCTGAATTTTGTTTGTTTATTTGTTGTTGTTTTTTTTTCTTTGAAGATCTACTTGGGAAAAATTGATTACGTGATTGTAAGTATTTATTTTTTTTATTTTATTTTTTTTTTTTTTTTTACCAAAATTGAAAAGTCATGTCCCTTTGGTCCAGAGTTCAGGCCCAGGATGGGACTGAGTAAATGATATATATGTGAAATGAATTACACCCTCAGATTGAAAATCTTCGCTAATAGACATCTAGCAGACAAATTTACTGTTTGCATGTTTATATTGAACGCTTGACACTATACCAAATTGTAATTCATACCCCGACCCATCAGGCAGGCCACGGAGTTTGGCTAAGATTAGGCAAACTGGTAACATCTTTAAAAAACGTCATTACTCATGGACATTTAGTGAGCAAATTGTTCGGATGATTATAATGAGCAGCTAACCCTGTACAAAATTTTATTTAAAAAAATTCATCCTCCAGGGAACAAGAAAGGGTGGGTTTGAACAGTCAAACATTGAAATGTATTATGTATTGTACATATTATCTTCGCAGTTTTACGCTATGAATTCTAGGAGACAAGCTGCATGAATAATATTTAAATCATACCGTCCTTATCAAACCAGAGATTTAGTTCCATGTTAGACCAAAGTTGTCATATCTGAGAAACTCATGATACTCAGATAACCGTCAAATCGCCTCTTGTTAATTTTTTTTTTTAGTTTCTATTTTTAAATCATTTGAAGTAGAAATTTGTCGTGTGATATGAAACTTTCGCCTTAATAATCTTAACTTCTGAGCAGTATTGTGTCATTTCCGGGAAAAGGACACTTGTTGTAAACAATAATGCACAGTGGGTCCCCGCGCATACCGGAAAGTTTTCTACGCATTCCGACGAAAAAAAAAAAGCTTTAATCAGATATGGTGTAAACGGGACTTCATTTTATTCGTCTCTGACATTGCATAGGATCATGAATGAAAGCGAGGTAACAACAAACGTGACCTACAATGGTTCTATGGTTGGAGACCTCGAAGACTGGAATAGTCAAATTGCCTCGGATCGTCTACTTAACACAGTCATACTATGCTTATATTTGACCATTGGAGTGGTAGGAAATTTACTTGTAATTTTCGTATACAAATCTCGCTCGCACATGCAGACGGACAACCGTTACTTCATCTTGTTTCTGGCGGAGCTGGATCTTGGTGCTCTGATAGCAGGAGTCACTTATTCTCTGTTCCTAAATTTTTATTTTGTTCTCCCAAAAGATGGAGCAGTATGTAAGGTATTTTCTTTCCTTCTTCAAACAGGAGGAGTTACGTCGGGGATTGTATTGTTATATATCTCCATCCAGCGATACAAATTGGTCTGTAGACCGACGAGGAGACAAATTACAGCACGCCACCGAAAAATTATGTTAGCGATCAGCCTTGCTGCTGGAGCCGGCCTGTCTGCTCCTATATCAGCGTTTTACGACGTTAGCGAAGTATACAGTGAAGAAAGAAATGTCACGGGGTTCGAGTGCAGCATTGTAAAACCTACAGCTCTCCACAGTGTTATGTTCTCGATTTATAATGGTATCTTATTTCTAGCAACGATTGGCATACTGGTCACTATGACAGTTTTGTATACTTTCATTTTGAAATCAATGAAGAAAAGAAGTGCCACATTCAAAGAACGCGAAAGCCGACGGAAACAGCTACGAGAAATGGCCGATGCTAATACGGGAGATTTTTCCAGCGAGGATCTTTTAAACAGTTCATCCCAAGGCCAAACAAGTAGCAATGGACTCGAAGTAAGAAATTCCCAATTCATCCTGGTCGAACATTTGGCAAAAGAGAGGCACCCGAGATCCTCTATGATTATCGATAAAGAAGATGGTACAAAAAGTCGAGACTCAGTCTGTCAGAGAAACTCCCGTATCGATACTCAATCAAAACAGCTGACGAAACGAGGCAGAAAAGCTAGCTATCAAGCTGTAAAGAACCATTTTTCAACACATCGATATTCTTACATCTTTATATCGATATCATTCTTTTTTGCGATATCGTACATTCCAACAGTGATCGTGTCTGCTATAGAATCGCGATCACGATACTTTTGGATTAACCAATCATACTCTGCCCTTCAGATTTTCTTGATTCTGCGCAGGATGTATATTTTCAACCACATTGTTAATCCAATAATTTATGGCTATTTTGATCGATCTTTTCGTAGGGAAGTGAAGAAATTACTACGTAAAGTGTTGTGCGGTCTGGTGAAAACCGAAAATAACAGTTTGTCGGACAAGACAAGTGGAAACCACTACTAATCTTTGGGATTATGTTAAATGAACTTTTATCTTATTTTGAGGCATGATGTTTAAGCCCCCCCCCCCCCCCCCCCACACACACACACACAATCTCTGCCATCGTGAGAAGAAATCTTTGAATTTAATTTTCTGCTGCTTGTATTATACTGGTATTTTAATTGGAACTCTTCATAGTAATTAAACCAATGTCCATGAAAAATATCAACAAATTTTTCTTTAAAAAAAAAAAAAATTAAGAATCAATAAACTTTTTGTGATCATCGCTTCCAAATTATTCTTGGAAAAAACATTTTCAATTCTAAGAGTAGGTTTTGTCTAAATACAGAGACATTCTAATGCGGACGCAATACCTTACTCACTTAAAATTGCCACAAGATTTTTCTTTCCTGCGAGTCATCAAAATATTTTTGTGCAAGTACAAACGTACTTTCGTATTATGACTCAGTGAAACGTATGGAATGAATTAATAAAAGTACTTGCGTAAGACATAATTATTCATGCTTGTGATAGGTTGAATTAAGCTGGATCTTGCATGTATAGTGTATACTACATGTCCTAAAGATTTAACTTGAGAGCAATGAGATACACGTATTTCATTTATCTGATTTTTATTTACATTTTTGTTTACTTAGTTTCTTTACTTGCTGTCATGTGTATTGTTTAGTGTATGAAATTGTCATTTATTAGATATAACGTTAGACAGATTTGTTTTTATGTTAAGCCCATTTCGAGTTCTAATGAAGTACATTGAAAAATGTTCATGCACTTTCTTTGCATTGGATATAAGGTCCATTAAGGTAGCCCGATCCATCAGCAGTTAAGTAATTGAAAATGCTAACAAAAACGTCTCTGAATATTCACAAAGTAATATGTATTTTCCCATGGTATTTCTTCTAAGTTCATCAATATAGTTAATCATATCATATAGGGAAAATTATCAAATCTAAAATATATATACAGGAAACGTGAATGAAAGCACCATCTATGCATTTTCTAATTGTAAATTGATCAACAAATATATTTTAGAATAAAAAGAATTATAGGTATCTATGCATTCGGGGAAAACTGCGTTTTTTATACCTACATGGTATATTAGTTTTTATATTTTCTTCAATTATTATATAAAACATGGTATAAAAGCTTGTGCCATCATTACAAACCATTACAGATCACTTCTAATTTCATATCGTGGCTATTAAGCATTGGTATCTAAGGCTAGATTAAATAAAATTTGATTTTTCTCAAGATATATTCATTTTTGAACCTTGAATCATATTGAGATGCATGAAATGAATATGATTTGAATTTCAAGCTTATATATTTTTGACTCTTTTTTAAATAAATAATAATTTTACGTTTTCCTTCCTGGTCGAGGAGCGGTTATCCTTAAAATAAAATTTAATTATAAAACCAAAGTAAGATTTAGCGTAATTTTGGGATATAACCAACATTTCACTGTGATTTTTTTAATATCATTACATTTATGTCCAATGAATAAAATCTCCTTAAGTTTATATCTTAGGAAAACCATGGTCGTTTATCAATCAGTTGCACGCCACTAAGCATACCACCTAAATAGATTTCATGAACAGTGTCTCTTCCATTAATGAAAAGTACTATGATGTACATATCAATAATACAATATTTAACCGACTTAATCCTACTTCAAATGATTATTCATAATGGAATTACACTGAATAAAAAGCTTTCCTTGCCTGTTATTAAGGAAATTAACGTTGCTGCTATTTTAGAAAATAAATACATATAACCCGCTTAGGCGGGTTATGTATTTTTTCTGCAACAGCTGCAACATTAATTCCCATACTTACAACCAAAGAAAGCATTTCATTGTTTCGATCAGGGCATTTCGTACAGAAAGTTTGGGTATAATTTTGTTATATTGGTCCGTCCATTATTCTATCATACTTTCTTCATTCGTAGACTCCTCTTACATTTTAACCAGTAGCCAGTTTATCTTTTGGTGGTGACCTATTGATAACTTTATGGGGTTTTTTTTCATCCTGGGTGTCTGTTGTGGATTGATTTATTGAGTTTTTGTTGTTATGTCTCATTCGAGAATATTGCACTCATAACAAAGTGTCACTGTAAGTCTGTGCAGGCCTTTAAATTTAGACCGATACTCGGCACTTAGGGCCATTCAGCAATGAGGGTTCTTTAGCGTGCCAACGCCTGTACCATACCTCGGGAGCTCGGATTTTACGGTCTCATTCGACTCATGGGTCTCATGACTTTCAATTCTAATGCCGGACGCTTGGAGAAAGAATAATCACTATCTATGTTTTACGTCTTAGGTATGATACTGCTCAAACCCGGACCTTCCCATCACGAATTAAGCGAACAGTTGGGGGTTGAAAATTAAAACGACGTTTTTCTACCCCCTAAAGTGATCCCCAGATATTATTACAATCTATAATTGACTAATATGTGTGGTGTCAGGGGCAATAGTTATACATACAGGTGTATTTGCACTGTATAGTGGTTATCGATTTGGGTTTAAATTGGCAGATAGGATTTTTGAACAATTAACTATGAGATTACTCCTGGGATTTTCACATGTATATCGGTCATTACTTTGTTTTAACACAAATAATGAAATAGTCAATGTTTGGGGCGAGGAAGACTTTAAATGATTTTTGGAGTATTCTACCATTTTACTTTCTTCACCATGAATTGTCTACGGATTTTTTCCGTTTGCCCAAGGAGCACATGGCGGTTGTGACCGGTCGACAGAGAACGCTTTCTCGACCATGGCACCTGATCCCGCCTCTGTTTTTGAAAGGTTCGTGTTGGCTCTGCATCATAATTTGTATTGTTTAAATGGACTTCTGAGAATCATTACATTTCTAATTTTAGAAGGTGTTGAGGCTTTTTGCTATAGATACCCAGGTATGAGAAAATATACTTCCAGAGTCAAATAATTTAATGTACTTACGAGCTAGTTTTACTGTCTTATGATAACATCTAGTTTTTGCTATACATATGTGATTCTTACTTCAAGTTGTTCTGTAAATCAACGAATTTATAACTATCTTTCAGACGATTTTAGACAACAATAAGAATTCGGAGGGGGGAAAAATAAATGTATTTACACAATTTAAAATCGTTTAAACACATCAGGAAAAATTTAGATACGATACATTAACACTTTAGTCCTCTTCCGTTTATTTCTTGAAGGAAATCGCGATCGTTTCTCTCTAGATGACTTAGATGATAAAGTCATGATAACTTGAGCATGCATTATAAGGAAGTATCCACTTCCCTTCACTTGAACATTATGCAAGTACACTTTTAAGAGAAATAATTCTTCCATTGAGTGTGCAGTGATTTATTCCACTTCAAAATTTATAAAGGCCTATGGTACTACAACATTTTCATAACTTTAAATCTTAAAAAGTAGTGAAAATATACAAACAAAACATTGGTAGAACTTGAATAGCTAAAGAGATTATGTTATTATATTCTAAAACACACCATCTCGGTTCATGTGTTTTCCTTTAGCACGTATGCTACCTATAGTGTGGTGGTTCTGGTGATTTTGAACGCTCCGTATGACGTCATTTACAAGTAATCAAGGTATACAGCACAGGTACAAAGAAGGAATGAAAATGGTGACGTAACAAAAATATACGTTCTACCGTATCTGACAACAATTTAGGACCATTACTAGTATTTCATGCCTGTATATTGTTTTCTATCTGTCTTGAGTAATAATTAATAGAATAAGGAAATACACAATAATATTATTTATTTATCTTAACGATCTTATTTTGAAATCTTTGATTAAAAAGTATAAGAATTAAGTAAGAAATATAATTTAAAAAAAGACTTTGTAATGTCTTTAAAATAGATCCTTTTCTTATGACGTCTTTAAAAGTCATCATACTTTATAAATACTTTTCTTCTAAATTCTTTGCTGCACATGGATTGGTTTGTTCCTTGTTTCTGCTCATAAAATAGTTTGTCTGTTTTTGCTTGAATTTTATTATGTCTATAACTTAATAATCGTTATTGGAATGAACAGCACTTAATCATATTTCAAATTGCCAAGACCAGGATAACGCAGATACTGAAAGTATATTGCAAATTATTTTGACCATTACCTTTGCTATCCTTGGTGAAAAAAAAATGATACGTCATGATGGTCACTAAGTCCTGATACGTCATGTTGGTCACTTAGTCAAGATACGTCACGATGGTCACTGAGTCATGATACGTCATGATGGTCACTAAGTCATGATACGTCATGATGGTCACTAAGTTATGATACGTCATGATGGTCACTAAGTCATGATACGTCATGATGGTCACTAAGTCATGTCACGTCATGATAGTACTTGATCATGATACGTCATGACAGTATCTAGTTCATGATACTAGTACATCATGAAGGTCACTGGCGCAAGGTACGTCATTAGGGTCACTTTATCAGAACTAAACAAATGTAATAATAGGTTCATAAAATTTCATGATTTGATAAATAATATACAATACAAAGATGATTACTTATTTATTCCCAATTTTTTTTTTTTTTTTTTTTTTTTTTTTTTTTTTTTTTGTTGTTGTTGTTGTTGTTGTTGATATTCTGTACAATTGATGGACAATGACCCTCTGCTTAAAAAGATAACTCTATAAATGATTTCCCTATAAGAATATAGTTTTCATCTTCAGCAATGTTTGCTTCTTGTAAATTTTATTTTCACTTTCATCTTCATGCTAAAGATGACTGCACTTAACACCTGGTTTTTTTTTGTATTCTTCGATGGCTTCTGTTGCTTTTATATTTTAACCTAATTTCACTTTTATTTATTCATTAAAATATCTTGGAACTAAGTCAATTTTGCTCAATCTCCCTCTCTATTCTTCTTGAGAAGAAGTTTGCAAAAAAGATTTTTTTTCCTATGTATTCCCTTGTAGGACTTTGTTTTTCATATGTAGCCCCACCCTAACTCCAATGATCTGAATAAAGTAAAATCCATTCTACCTGAGGATTTTTCCGTATAAATATAACTAATCATGACTTTGTCGTTCTTATAAGGAA